ACCGCACACCCACTTTTACAGCTGAATTGATTGCTCATAAACATCGTACTCACTTGACCTTACTATGGTTAAGGTCTTCCTAGAGGTTTGCAACAGTGCATAAAATAAGCTAAAGGATCAAATGCATTAGTGTTTCATATTCACCAGCAAAAATGCATTTTGACTACGAGTTCAGACATATTTTTAAAACCTGTTCAGCTCAATTATTTCTAATTATTCATGACCCTAAATATGTACCACAGACCTACTCAGTTCAGGAGACTGAATTTGGTAGATGACATTTCATATTTGTAACAGTATTTTTATATGGATATGGTCAATTATCTACATATTCTAATGTTGCTTTGTCTTGCTTCACTACCAATGAAGTACGCAAACACTGCAGATTGGTTTTTAATGTCACATGCCTTCTAAACTGGTGTTTAGAACGTTCATGTGTTATAATCGAAATACTGGTACTTCACTTTTAACTTAATTATTAACTTTCATGAGTTGAGAGAGTTGTAGTTTTGGTTAGATGGAACACCATTTAAAATGAAACGGTGTTTGTTTTATGTTGATGTTCATTGCTTTTGTGCAAAATTCCATTGCACACTTGGACAGTTGTCATGACACACCAATTGTTTTAATAAACCAGATGACAACTACCACTATTGCTTCACCACACAGGCCCATAGTTAAAGTAGTAGTTGAGCGCCAATGACATCATTGGAGGAACGGGTTTTTGTGTGTGGAAGTACGGGTTAAAATCATAGTCTCTTGGTATTATTGAATGGTGTCATTGGTAGATGAGTTTAACTGATTTCCACTGGACAGGGATATTAAAATAAGCCTTTAAAGATTTTCTGCTTATTGGCTTTTGACTAATTCATCTACAGTCATCCAAATTATTTATCTTTCTCTCCCTTCATTAATCCAATTGTTTATAGTGGCTACTTTTGAGTCCAACAGCGCTACTTACATATTTAATGAAATTTAAAAATGATAGCTGGAGACACTATCACTTCCTGACTTATGATAACCTACAGTGGATGTCATCAGAACAAATGCCACTTAGTTCTGAATAATTTTCAGAAATCAATCTCCTTTTCTACAAATAGGTCTATTAGATATTCTTTCCACTACTCTACATTCTCACTTCCATCTTTTGAAAAAGGTGAAATGTTTACTTAAGATCTCGCTCATATCATCCTCCACACAATCCCACATTGACCTCGGAATTAACTTACTGTCTTAAAGCAACACAGACTTTACAAACCACTCTGGCTAAGTATCAAAATCCTGAAGCTTTCCTCCACTCTAACATCTACATTATCTGAAAGAATTGTTTGTTTATGCTGAAATATATTAGGCGTTGGTCTCATGTTTGGCTATTTATGGGCATTATAGTCAGTCAGCACATGTTTAAGTGTGAGAATTCTGGTCAAGTTCTGCTTCACGAAAGAGATCTGATTTGATGCTTTCAAATATGTTTCAGAAAAAGGGGAAGCTGTGATCCTGCCATTGCAGTCTGTTGCTGAAGACATCTTGAAGAATCGTCTGTCTGAAACATCCTGGCTGCAGCAAATCAGAATACGGTGTGGTTTCTTCTTCACAGAAGATCTGGCTGACTTGAGAACTAAACCTCTTTCTACTTGTAACTGCTTGGTTGGTGCCTTTAATGCTGTTGTAGACACCTTGGACAATAGAAATCTCCTGTAGAGGCCCTTAGCTCTCTACCTCAGCTATCTGGGTGACAGGATGGATTAAGTAACCGACTACTCTATGATATAGGGAATATGTCATCAACTGGATTGATGCACTAACAGTTCCCTAGTTAATGATGAACAGACGCCCTCTGTGGATCTGCAAGTATCTGCAGCTATAAATGTTGAGTACTATGATCATTAATTGCCACAGACAGAGAGTGCAGCCTGAGACCATCTCTTTGAAAGATATGATCATTGGTATTCTTGGGGAAGTGCAGCCACTGGAGGTATGGTTATTTGGAGGGGTCTGGTGGTGTACCCCATACTCACATTCCAAAGGGGCATCCGTGGTGGGTTGCTCTTCTCTACCACCCTCCTGAAGTCTCTGGGCCTGGAGCTAATGCAGCTACTGCAACACGTCCTTCATTATGAAAACCCAGAGTGGTGTTCCCATCAGGAAACTCCTGTCTGTCCGAAGTCAACCTGAATTTGGGTCTGGCGGAAGTTATTTTGGGGGTTGGTGCTGGGTCTCCAAATTGTGTTTCTAAGAGAGAGGAGTGGCCGATAGAAACATTAAACATGGTGTCAATTATTCTAAAATGTGGAAATGATTTTTAAAAATGTTCAGAACTGTGCAATGAGTTTGCGCTCACATGTCTGAAGCTGGAGATTTTCTTTTGCGAGAGGGCGGAAAGTCAAGAGTATTTGTTAGTGGAACGTAAACTCTGGAGACTTCTATTTAATTGAACAGAACAGCAATGCAATTGAACCATAAACAACACTGTCAGGCATAAGATTCAAAACTGCTAAATATAAAATAGCATATTTGCATTCAGTAATTTTGGTGCATAAGCAGCATAAAAACATTCATTGCTTGGATAATTTCAGCGCGAAACAAGTTACTATGAAGGACTCTCTCAACCGCTTCCCTCAGCTAGGGCGTGGTGAGAATCAGGTTAAACCACCATCAGCAGTCTTCTCTTTATAATGTGAAAGTAGTCCATATGGTCGGGTAAAACTATGGCGACTCTACCTTTAAAGAGAGAGTTAAGGTCGTGAAAAGTACATTAATGAAAGGATTGACCTAAAACCGAGGAAAGCGTCCATCAGTCAATCGTCTCTGGCTTTCTACAGAAACATTGAAACAAACATTATAAAAAGCAATTTTTTTTAAAGATCAAGGCAGCGAAATTCTCAGTATCTCAACGATTATCCAATAGTTTGTTTTCAGGCTATCTTGTACATGATGTTAAAAGTGCAAGTCAGTCAAATTTGTTTCCATTTATTCAACACGTCAAATATTTGTCTAATCTGAAAATCGTTAACAGTAAACTGGAATTAGCAAACGGCAGCTCAAACAGATGCAGGATTCAACAATCACCAAGTGAATACTGGAGGAAAGTGCAGCTGCAAGAAGGAGCTAGCATACAATCGAGGGCGAAAACCCACAGGGAAATTCGCACGATGGATTAGATTGAAGAACGATTATGACAACTGCATAAATTAGTATGAAATCTGCACTTGGATCGCGCTGAGCTCTGGGTGCATTATGTCATTGCACTAATCAACAATGAGACTATTGCACTACTCCTAAGGCTACACTGGTCAGCAGGTCAACGCGGTACAACACGCCCACAAGGACTTGAGCTTTTCACATTTTCATGCCGTAACCATAAAGGCATTTCCCACCGATACGTTCCAAAATCTATTAGCATTGCGTATTTCTCCCTTTTGTTAGCAGATGTTTGGAAAGGTGGCTACACAGTGCAGCTTGAATGTCGAGAGGGATCATTGTGGATACAGGAATCAGCGTGAAAGTATTGGCGCATCAAACGCCACCTCCCCTCAATGTTCCCGGTGTTTCAACATTAAATCGAGCAAAATCATGAATTTTAGCTCTCAGACCCGAAAAAAAAAGGGTCTAGGCCCGAAACGTCAGCTTTCCTGCTCCTCTGATGCGGCTTGGCCTGCTGTGTTAATCCAGCTCTACACCTTGTTAGCTCAAATTCTCCAGCATCTGCAGTTCCTACTATCTCTGAAACTATTTGAACCCCAGAACATTACCTGGGTCTCTAGATAAACAGCCCCAGCGACAATATATCCACTATGCCATTGCCTCCCCCTGAGAGCCATTGCCGTGCCTCCACCTTAAGGGGAAGGCAGACATTTAAATAGCACTGCAAGAAAGCTCAGTGCTGAGACACTTCGTTCCTGCCTTGTACTGAAATTTAACCATCCTTTGGAAATCTGAAAGAAAAAAAACAGAAAATGCTGGAAATACTCAGCGGAGTTGGCAGCATCGACGTTGACTGTGGTGGAATGCTAATCCAGTTGTGGTGGAAGCTCACAGCTGAAACGTTCACCCTGTTTTCTGCCTCCACAGGGTTTGCCAGACCTGTAGAGCATTCCCAATCTCGTCTGGTTTGTGTCTCGCAGCTTCACTGATGCAGCTGGTCGTTACACCGTTCCAATAAAGGCACCGAGTTCCTCCTTTATCATGACTAGTGTGTCGTCAAGATGACAGCTTAGAAAATGCTCTAGTGCCCATGTAACTTCAGATCCTAAAGCTCTACTCAGCATAACTGTTAACCCAGTTGAACTGCGCCCACCGTAACGCTCACAATTCCAAATACTGAGTGCAATCATAACTTCAGCTTGCATTCCGGCCACTACCACTTGTACGCTTCACAAATTATTGGCAGAAACTAGCCGTCAAACGCATTGTCATGAACATTCAGGACCTTCTCCCAACATGTTAATAAGTAAAATATTGGGAGACGTTAATAATTAATCCTTCTGTATATATAAAGAAAGCAAAAAACTTTCCAAATATGTCTGAAACAAGTAGTCCTTGAACTGGAAAACCATCTGCGTTGTAACGTGTTTTTTTGTAGACAGCATCATGTGGGTAATGCAACTCTCTGCATTAATCATGCACTTCAACAAGAGCCCGGAGTTGGATCTCTCTCTTCCCAAACCCGTTGACAATTGCACTAAGCCTTACCATATATGATTTTACAGTTCTGTCAAATACAAGGTCTTTTGTGTAATGCACGTGGATCTTAAAAGAAAACGCCAGACGGGCACATTACCTCTAGTCAGTTTGATTTTCTAAATTAAGCTTTTTTCCACTACACTTTCTTTCACCAACGCATCAACTAGCACTATCACTTCAATTTCCATTCAATCCCGTCCTTCTGTCTCAGCAAAAAGTTCAGATAGACCGTACAGTTAATCGGATTGAGTTACTACCAGTAATTTGCCCGTCACGCTGCAACGTTGAAAAGTTTTTTGCAAATAAATCGCCCTCACCTCTGATATAATTACATTTGTTCTCATCCAAGCTTGAAATAGATCCACCCATTATGTCAGGTTGAGAATTCTGGTTGCAGAATGTTTTTTTTCTCTCTGTCTCCCGCCGTTGATTATGAAGAGGGACGGCAACTTTCTGCAGGGGCTACTCCAGTCCCGAGCTGCCAGTCCACGGGGCACCGACTGTTCCTCTGAGCCGTTTTCTCTGTAATTTAATTAACTTCCGGAAAAGAGTTACCGCCTTCGCCCCGCCCCTTCCCCCTCAAAATCAATTACACTGGCCACTCACAAGATGAAGCGAATAACAGACCAAAACGATACTATTTGGAAAATTGCGCAGTGTGCTTATGGAGGCAGCGAATATTCAGGATGAAAACACTAAGGCAAATTCCTTCAAACTGGGAAGAGCTGCGACAGTTATGAGGTGCACAGATAAAGTGAATAGCTAAGTTCTTTTCTCTAGGGTAGGGGAGTTCAAAACTACAGGGCATAATTTTAATGTGAGAGGAGAAAGGGACTGGGGAACCTGTGGATGTGGTGTATCTGGATTTCCAGAAGGCATTTAACAAGATGCCACATAAGATAAAGTTGCACGGTATTACAGGTAATGTATTGGCATGGGATAGAGGATTGGTTGACCAGTAGAAAGCAAAGAGTAGGGGTAAATGGGTGTTTCTCTGGTTGGCGGTCAGTGGCTAGTGGTGTGCCTCAGGGATCAGTGTTGGGACCGCAATTGTTTACAATTTACATAGACGATTTGGAGTTCGGGACTTAGTGTGGTGTGTCAAAATTTGCAGATGACACTAAGGTGAGTGGTAGAGCAAAGTGTGCAGAAGACACTGAAAGTCTGCAGAGGGATATAGATAGTCTAAGTGAGTGGGCAAAGGTCTGGCAGATGGAGTACAATGTTGATAAGTGTGAGGTCATCCATTTTGGTAGGAATAACAGCAAAATGGACTATGTTTTAAATGGTAAAAAATTGTAGCACGCTGCTGTGCAGAGAGACTTGGGTGTCCTTGTGCACGAATCTCTAAAAGTAGGATTGCAGGTACAGCAGGTAATTAAAAAGGCAAATGGAATTTTGTCTGTCATTGCCAAAGGGATAGAGTTTAAAAACAGGGAGGCTATGCTGCAGCTGTATAGGGTCCTGGTGAGGCCACACCTGGAGTACTGTGTGCACTTTTGGTCTCCTTACTTGAGAAGAGATATACTAGCACTGGAGGGGGTGCAGAGGAGATTCATTCGGTTGATTCCAGAGTTGAGACGGTTGGATTATGAGGAGAGACTGAGTAGGCTGGGATTATACTCATTGGAATTCAGAAGAATCTTATAGAAACATATAAGATTATGAAGGGAATAGATAAGGTGGAGGCAGTGAGGTTGTTTCCGCTAGCAGGTGAAACTAGGACTAGAGGGCATCGCCTCAAAATAAAGGGAAGCAGATGTAGGACTGAGGTCAGGAGGAACTTCTTTACCCAAAGGGTTGTGAATCTGTGGAATTCCCTGCCCAGTGAAGCGGTTGAAGCTACCTCGCTGAATGTTTTTAAGGCAAGGCTAGATAAATTTTTGAACAGTAAAGGAATTAAGGGTTATGGTGAGTGGGCGGGTAAGTGGAGCTGAGTCTCAAAAAGATCAGCCATGATCTTATTTAATAGTGGGGCAGGCTCGAGGAGCCGGATGGCCTACTCCTGCTCCTAGTTCCTATGTTCTTATGTTCTATGAAAGATTAAAAAGGGACCTGAGGGGCAACTTTTTCACTCAGAGGGTGGAATGAACTGCCAGAGGAAGTGGTAGACACAAGCACAATTACAACATTTCAAAGACACTTGGACAGGTACATAAATAGAAAAGTTTTAGAGGGATTTGGGCCAAATGCAGGCAAATGGGATTAGATTCGTTTGGGAAACTTGATCAGCACGGACGAGTTGGACAGAAGGATCTGTTTCCATGCCGTATATCTCTATGAGATGTGTGAGGGCCATGCTTTGCATTTACAAGATTAATCACAATTCTAAACAACTTTCTACAGATAATTTCACAACCTGTTGCCCTTTTCTGTATGCAGCCAATTTAGCACATAGCACACAAATTAATTGTTCTGCAATTCAAAAGATAAAGCCAGTTTCTCATTTATAGTTAAAAACGTTGGTGGAGTTCTGTCAAAGCCTAATAATTGACCAAACAATATAGATACATGATGTTTGCTGTTAAACACTATTTTGATCCTACACATTTCAGAAGACTGAAGCAAATGTCTTTAGTTCCAGGCATAAACTCTGCTCGCCAACCAGTGACTCCATCCTTCTCCCTGGCAACTGTCTGACACTGAACCACATTACTTGCAATCCTTGTGTCATATTTGACTCCGCAATGAGTTTTCAAACATATAATTGCATGATTACCAAGATCAGCTATTTCCACCTTCATAACATGCTCAGCCTCACCACTACTTCAGTTGATCTGCTGCTGAAATCCTGGTCCACACCCTTCAGACCTGACAATTACAATGTGTTCTTCAAAGCCTCCTATGGTCTACCCTCATCAAATTTGAGGTGATCCAGAACACTGACATGTGTTCCATCAATCCCATTACTCCATGTTCATCAATCTGCAATGGCTACAATCCCAAAATTTTAGGTGCTCACATTGGTATTCACATCCTCCAATGGACAGCCGCCTTTCCCAGTGTCTCTGGTACTACAATCCTCTGAGAATCTGTATTCCCATCATTCCAGCCTCTTTCATAACCCAATTTTAATTGCACCATCATCAGAGGCTGCCTTCAGGTGCCAAACCCCACACTCTGGAATCCCTTTCCAAAACTCTGCGTCTTTCTATATTGCTTTCCTCCTGATTATCTAAAACGCATTATCTAAAACGCAACTCTTTGACCAAACTTTTGATCATTTGCCTTAATGTTTCTTGATGTGATCCAATGTCATATTTTGTTTTATAATGGGCCTCTGTGAAACATATTGGAACATTTTATTATGTTAAATGTTAAGTGTTCTTAAACAGAATCAACGTATTTCCCACATAAACTGGTATGTACAGCACCAAACGACCAACATTTTGTCACTACACTACTGTAGTATTTTCTGATAAAGGTAGCTGATGCAAGAACCGTTACAATGACATGGCATGTCCTTGGAATGAAGGAACTTCGGAAAACCTTGAGCTCTGAAAATTATTTAGCTTATATTCCTGGTTACCCATGAGATGATCATATTTAGGATGAGAGTTCTTAAGGTGTTTCCAGCTAAGTACTTCATATATTTGTTTTAATATTATGGTCTGGATTTTCCTGAAGTCACGGAAAATTTGTAGAACTCTAAAAATGTTAGATGGGACTGCATTCAGAAGACCAACCCCCATTTCAGACAAATCCTATTTTCAATGGTAGGGGATGTAGGATTGATCAAAAATCCCCATCATTTAAAATACTGGGCAAGACGCTGGAGTTTTCTAATATCTAAAACACTGGACAAAGTCCTGAGCTCAAGCTGCAAAAACTATAAACAGTGCCAGAATGATTTCAGAAACAAAAACAGAAATTGCTAGAAAAGCTCAGCAGGTCTGACAGCATCTGTGAAGAGAAATTAGAGTTAACGTTTCGGGTCTGGTGACTCTTCCTGAGAAGTGGACCCGAAAGATTTCTCTTCACAGATGCTGCCAGACCTGCTGAGCTTTTCCAGCAATTTCTGTTTTTGTTTCTGATTTACAGCATCCGTAGTTCTTTCGGTTTTTATCCAGAATGATTTCAGTCTGGGACTGTTGTTCAGCCTGGAATTCCAATTTATACCTCCAATCTAAGAGAACAATCAACAAAACCTAACACTCCAGACTGAAACTAACTTTTATACTCGGGCTACCCAGCACAAACAGTATGGATCTTACAGAGATACTGGACATTCAACTTCAAACAAAATCCATTCACACATACTCTAACCATTGGGAAACCAATTGCCTTCAGAAGGAAACACCAGGAACACAATGGACAACACAGATTTGACGGGAGATAATGGGGCACACAGGCTGTATAACTGCCAGCTCTGATCTCACCTGGGCGAGAGCCTTTTCAACAACAAGCTTCTGCACAAACAGCTTCCCCACAGGTTTCCAGCCCCAACAAGCAGCTTCAGAACCAAGAACCACAGAGGCCAAACAGAGAAACTGAATCGAGGTGCCAAACCCAAGGGCATCATCGCAACAAAGGATATCCAAAAGGGGGTGAAGCCAACCAAGTGCTATCTGAACAAAAGCTTCTAGACATGACCTGTTGCAAACCAAGAGAACCTACAGCAAGAACCTCAGCAACCAGATGCACTTTATAACTGTGTTTTCCTCCGTGGTGAGCTGAAACTCCGAGACACAAAGTTCCGATCTAGCTAGAGCAGGAAGGGGAAGGCAGGTGGTGACAGTGCATAGTGACCTCAAGGGTAAGAAGCCTGATGAAAGTTTCTGTGATTACAACGGCACTTATGTTCTAACAATGTTTAATCTGTGTTTAATTTAGTAGTGCATTGACCTCTGTATAATTGTGTTAATTCCAGTTTTATTGCATTTGCCTTTGTTTTTTGTATTATACCTACCTTTTTTTATTTAAATAAGTGCAGAGATTCTTTTGTCTCTGAAACACCTGTCTACTGCCTTCTTCATTTCATATTCCCTAAATTAGTCCTAAAATCAGCAAATGACTGATTGCAAACCAGAACCCTTCCGGGGAAGGGTAAAGGCCATGGTGTATAAATGAAGGAAACTGATCTCACCAGAGCCCTTTAAACATATTGGCTGTTTAACATGAGTAACTCACAATGTGAGATCTAGTATTTTATATAGATGTAAGTGCTCTTGTAAGGTCGATAGGGTCTGCAGAACTATCATATTGTGAAGTTATATAAATCCTCAGTCCTTAAGAAACATAGAAGACAGCTAAGAAGACACCAAAGATTGAAAAGATTTGTTTTAGCAATTACAATAGTTGTTTTTTGACATTTCTCCAAGGACTAACATTAGATTATTATTCATGCTAGGCTACTTTCTGCAGGCTAAACATATCTCAGCAATTGGTCCTAAGTTAACAGTTTTGTTCACAGTTCAAAAACGTCATTAAATGATTAGCTGCATGTGATGTGTTATGAATAGAAATTTCTTTTTATCTTGAGATTGTCTTAAGACTTTTTCTTGAGATTTAAATA